AAAAGATTACAATTATCTACTAAAATGGAGTTCAGGGATTCAGTTATAGTTGTCAAAAGCCTGTCTGAAGAGATGGGTCTTCAGCTTTTTTCCAAAGGATAACAGGGAAAGGGCCATTCTAATCTCCCGAGGGAGAGCATTCCATAGCCTGGGAGCCACCACAGAGAAGGCCCTTTCCCGTGTCCCCATCAGCTGTGCTTGTGCTGGCAATGGGACCGAGAGGAAGGCCTCGTCTGCTGATCTTAATTGCCGAGAAGGCACATACTGTATAGGGAAATATGGTCCTTCAGGTATCCTGGACCCAAGCTGTCTAGGGCTTTATAAGTAAAGACCAGTACTTTGAATTGGTCTTGGAAACAGACTAGTAGCCAGTAACAGGTGTGTTATATGCTCCCTGTAGATGGCTCCAGTCAGTAGTCAGTTGCAGAGTTTTACACCAGCTGAAGTTTCCGAACTGTCTTCAAAGGCACATAGAGCATGTTACAGTAATCCAAACGGGATGTAACTAACACATGTCTCACTGTAGCCAGATCCAACATCTCAAGGAACGGGCACAGCTGGCACACCAGCTTTAGCTGTGCAAATGCACTCCTGACCACCGCCGAAACCTGGGCATCCAAGCTTTAGGGATGAATCCAGGAGTACACCCAAGATGCGGACCTGAGTTTTCAGGGGGAATGTAACCCCATCCAGCACAGGTAGTATCCCTATTCCCTCATCTGCCTTCCGACTAACCAGAAGCACCTCTGTCTTGTCTGGATTAAGTTTCAGTTTGTTTGCCCTCATCCAGCCCATTACTGATGCCAAGCATTGGTGTAGAGTCAAGACAGCTTCCCTAGAATGAGGTGGAAAGGAGAGCGAGAGTTGGGTGTCATCTGCATACTGGTGACACCGAACCCCAAAACTCCAGACAATCTCTCCTAGTGGTTTCATGTAGATGTTAAAAAGCATGGGTGACAAAGGAGAACCCTGAGGAATGCCTCAGGCCAACGGCCAGGGTGTTGAGCAGGAGTCGCCCAGCACCGCCTTCTGAGTTCTCCCCTCCAAGGAGGACTGGAGCCACTGTAAAACAGTGCCTCCGAGTCCCATCCCAGAGTGATGGCCCAGAAGGATACCATGGTCAATGGTATTGAAAGCCGCCAAGAAGTCCAGAAGAACCAACAAGGACATTTTGTTCTTTTGTTGGGGTATGTACTAAGCCCCTGACCACTCGAAACAACTCCGCTAGACAACTTTGTGCAGATGCAATGGCAGCAGCAAAGAACATTTTCTTTGCTGCAGCCACTGCCACAGAATAGGCCTTCAAATGGACTCTAGCCTGTGTTCGGTTGGATTCACTCCGAGTTTTCCGCCGTTGTCGCTCTATAGTCTCCGTCCCACTCTTTTCATCACTGCCAGCTCCCTGGTAAACCTGGCTCTACTTCGTGGGAGAGGGCACTTGGGAGCAATTTCGTACACCACCTTGGCCAGTTCTCCTTTCCAGAGATCAGCCAGAGCTTCGACAGGATCGCCTGCTGAGGCAACAGGAAACTCCCCGAGAGCTGTCAGGAAACCACTTGGATCCATCAGTCTCCTGGCATAGACCATTCTAACGGGTCCTCCACCCCTGAAGAGATACAATGGTGCCTCGCACAACGAGCGCCCCATAGAGCGATGAATTCGCTCTACGGGGATGTTTTTTCGATCGCTAATGCGATCGCAGAGCGACGGCCCCAATGGGCGAAAATCGCAGAGTGAAGGTCGGTAAGCAGTTCACTTACCGACCTTCGCTTTGCGACCCGCCGATCAGCTGTTCCGTGGCTACAAAATGGCCGCCAGAAGCCCCAAAATGGCCGTGCGCAGCGTTTTCACGCCCTCGTTAAGTGAGGGGAGGGCGCGAAAATGGCTGCCAGCCATAGGAAAGCATCGCTGAACGGTGAGTATTCAGCCCAATTGGAATGCATGAAACCATGTTTAATGTGTTCCAATGGCTTTTCCTGCCCCGTTCAACGATGCTTTCACACAGCGAGGGTTAATCTGGAACGGATTAACCTCGCTGTGCAAGGCACCACTGTAAAGAATTCCAGTGAGTCTAAACCTCACCAAGTAGTTCTCTGTCCATGACAATGGAACTACAGAGAGCTCCTCCACACCCAGATCACCATCATCATGCCCAGCATGAAATACAAGGTCCAGAGTGTGTCCTGCTATATGTGTGGGGCCAGAAACCACTTGGGACTGACCCTTGGCTGTCATGGAGGACACGAAGTCCTGAGCCGCTCCTAATAAGTTGGTCTCAGCATGGACATTGAAGTCTCCCAGTACCAAGCCTGGAGGACTCCAACATCACCTCCAACACCAACTTGGTCAGCTCAGGAAGGGAGCAGCAGGGTGCACAGTACACCAACAAAATCCCTGCTCTGTCCCGGGTGCCTACCTTTAAGTATACACACTCGAACCCAGAAAATTATGGGACAAGGCACCTGGTGAGGGGGGGGGTGGACTCACAATAGACTACTGCAACTCCACCTCCCCACCCCCCAGGTCTGGCCTGCTGCTGCTGCACAGAGAACCCAGGTGGGCAAAGCTGGGACAGTAACTCCTCTCGCTTCATCCAGCCAGGTCTCTGTAATACAGGCCAGGTCAGCCGGCTCATCCAGGATCAGGTCCTGGGTGGCTAATGTGTTCCTTTTTACTGACCTGTCATTCAGCAGCAGCATTTCTAACTCAGGGGCACTATTGCCACAGCTATCCAGGCTGTCTGAACTGGGAGACAATTTTGGGGTGACTAGGATCCTGTTCCCTCCCCTTCTCCTGCAATGATTCTGTTGTCTCCTTTCCCCGTATCTCCCTCTACCCAGCGTAATGCCAATGGCAGCTCCCTCCTCCCCCTAATTGGCCTCCTTATTTGAAAGGCACATCCCTCCCACCCCAGACCAACAGCAACAGGCAGGCAAATAAAAAGGTATCCTTCTAGGCAAGAAGAATGGACCTCGCCCTTATTTCTCAATCCCCAAACCGAACAACCAACACCCCACCAATCCACCCCTTTGCTGAAAAGACTCTGTTCATGTAGACCCCCTTCTCCCCTGGAGCCAGGTGGCCTATGTTGACAAGGGGGTGGGAAGCAGCCTGTTCCAGGGACCCAGTCCTGCAGGGCAGTAGAAGTCGGGAGCCAAACTCCCACAGGGAAAGCTGGCAGCCGACAGCAGCAGCAACAACACTGTCTCTCACCCAGTGCCCTGTGAGACAGCAGATGACGGACGACTCCTCTGCAGGCAGGAATGCTGGTCCACCTTTCCTTCAGTGAACTGAAGGGAGCATTGTGGTATTCCTCCCACTTGATCTTCAAAACAACTCTGTGAATAAAATCCAGCTGAGAGGTTGTCCAGATCCAAAGTTATCTATGAGTTTCATGACAAGAGATGGGATTTGAGCCCAGGCGTCTTGAGCCCTGGGCTTAAATCCCAGTTCTCTCCAACGCTACCCACTGCACTAGCTATAATATTAATCTATTACTATTAATATTAATATAGCCTAACAACATAAGTGTAGTCAAATAACGCAAGACAGTCAGAGAGAAAGACTTGTGTTGGGAACCAGTTCGACTGATTAATGTGACAAAACACAAATCAAAGAAACATTGTAATGTCCTAATGCAAGAACGGAGAAGTGGTGGCTCTCCAGATGTTATTAGCCTACAACTCCCATCATTTGTCACTGTTGGCCATCCTGTTGGCCAGCTTCGGCTGATGTGAGTTGAACTACAACAGTACAGTATCTTGAAGGCCAGTGGGTACCCATCTCTGTCTTGTGACGTTTACTATATTTCTCTGTTAATTCTGAAAAATGGTTTGTTTGTTTTGAATTTGCTATTGAACATATTCCTCCCATAGTGGCAGATCTCTGGACATTTGAAAAATACATTTTCCTAACTTGATCCCTCCAGACTAGAAATGTACATGTCATGAAGCTCCTCTGTATATTTTTCTTTATTTTTTCTTAGAGCAAAGCATCTTAACTATTATCTTTGAACAGGAACCAGTTATCTTGCTTGGAAAGTCCAGAATCCTGTTGGGGTTTTACCACAGAGTAAGTGAAATTGTGTAAATTGAGATGGTGAGGTGCAGCTAATGAACAAGGTATCAGTTGTATGACTGGTCCTAGGGCTGGTTTCCAGCCAGATAAGCAACTGTGTGGTACATCTACATGCAGTAACTTATGGACTATTTTGTTTTAGAGTATTATTGTAAACGTTCATCCAGGAGACAGAAAACGGACACACCAGGCCTGAACAAAGATGAGGGGTCAGAGAGAAGGGGTGTGTGGGTGGGACTGGAAGGTTGGGGATTCAGTTAAAACTCAAGAGGGGGAGAAAAGAAAATATAAAAATAATTTTAAAATGGTACCCTAAAACAACATAGGCCATAAGTTACTGCATGTAGATGTACCCTGCGCCCAACAGCCAGTGAGTGTTTAGAAACTGATATTTCGATCCACATTTCAGTCTGTTTCCATATGGCTGCCGAAGTCGACCGGTCCAGGAAAGCTTACATTAAAATATAGCAGTCAATTCTTTAAGGTGCCACATGGTCTTGTCTGTTTTGTTTTGTTTCTTCGGATTTTGCTCGATATGCCTGCGCAGACGACCAGGGCTACCTCCTCCAAAACGAGTCCTTAAGTACTGTAACGATCTCTCTTTCTTTCCCACACCGCTCTGCTCCTTTTCGTTCCAGATCCTGGCGTGTTCACCGACGGATCGCCGCGTTTTTCCTGGGGTGTGTGTGCGGCTGGGGTGGGCAGGGCTGGGATGAGGAAGCGAGGCGTCGGGTGACCGGGCGGAAGACTTCAATCCGGCCTCTCCGGCCGCGCCAAGCGTATATATATGTATGTGGGGGGGGGAGAGCTCCTCCCTCGGGCGGCTGGCCGGGCTTGCGGGGCGGTGCTGAGGCCGAGTGACGTGTCGCTGTCACGGAGCCGAGCATGATTCATCAGCCGCCGCCGCCGTCGCCGCCGCCGCCAGAATTAGAGATGCTGCGCGCAGCTCCCGTTTAAAGGCGAGGAGGGGGCGGAGGACGCATCGCTCCCACCGCCCGCCCGGGCCGTTGCTTTTCGGAGGCTGTCGCTTCGGGTTGGGGAAAGGCAGGGAGGCAAGATGGAAGAAATCCTGAAGAAGCTGCAGAAGGAAGCCTCGGGGAGCAAATACAAGGCGATCAAGGAAAGCTGCACCTGCGCCACCGGTAAGGAAGAGGGAGGCCCGCAGGGGGTGGCTTTCTCGCCCCCTTCCTTCCTCGCCGTCGCCGGGGCGGCGGGACTAGCTCGGTCTGGCCGCCGGTGCCTAAGCGACCAGGGTGGGCAGACCCCTGCCGCTCTCCCGCCCCATCGCTGATCGAGGCTTGGCTTTTCTGATTCGCGTTGGTGGGAAAGAACGTTCTCCATATGCTTAATGTTTCCTCCGGCGATGGACAGCCTCTGCAGGGCGGGAGGTTGACGGGCTCGCGGGATCAAAAGCACCGCCCTGGTTTGATGTTGGGCTGTGCTGTGTTGTTGTTGTTGTTGTTGTTTTTCTTTTCCGAATGGCCAGGAGGTTTGCGATCACGCACCCGGTCGCTGGCTCTCCGTTTGTTGGCCTTCCGCCTGAGCTCCCGACCAGTCGGCGGAGCAGGACCGTTGGCCAGGACCATCCTTCTAGGGTGCGCTAGGGTTCTTTGAAAGCTTCCGTGAATCTTTCCCACGAGCCATAGCAGGTGTCAAATGAGACGGTTTCGGTGGATTTTCCAAACCCAGTAAATATTTTCTCCTGTAATGATTTTCTCTTGCTTTGCCTGTAGCCCTGCAATGTCAATGCTCAGCTGCTTATTATTTTTTTAAATGTATAATGTACCAGTGCAGGGCAGTTCACTATTGTGTTCCAATTAGAATCGTTGCTGTTGTTATTATTTTAAGCCCAAACCTATTTTCAGTCTAAACTCAAAGGGCTACTGATCTGACTCTTTCCTTGTGCTCATTACTAGTTTCTGAGCACTGAAGAGAGCAGGGTTAGCTGTTAACTGAATGGATGGTGTGTGTTTTAAATAAAATGTAGTGATCCAGGAGGAAAGCTGAGTCTGCTCCATGTGCCTGACTAATTATGATTATGCCAATAAATACATTTCTTTAAACTACTTCATTGGAGCATCCAAAAACAATGATGAGCAAAACCTTAATTAATAGTAGCTATGTGCCATTAGAGTTCCAGAAAGCCAGAGAGATCCAGAAAAACATCTACTTCTGATTTATTGACTACACAAAAGCCTTTGACTGTGTGGACCATAGCAGACTATGGCAAGTTCTTCAAGAAATGGGAGTGGCTGACCACCTTATCTATCTCCTGTGAAATCTATATGTGGGACAAGAAGCAACAGTTAGAACTGGATATGGAACAACTGATTAGTTCAAAATTGGGAATGGAGTATGACAAGGAGTATATTGTCTCCCTGCTTATTTAAATTATATACAGAACATCATGCAAAAGGCTGGATGAATCCCAAGCCGGAATTAAGTTGCCAGAAGAAATATCAACAACCTCTGATATGATACCACTCTGATGATACCACTCGAATGGCAGAAAGTGAGAAGGAATTGAAGAACCTCTTAATAAGGGTGAAAGAGAGTGCCAAAAATGGTCTGAAGCTCAACATCAAAAAAACTAAGATCATGGCCACTGGCCTCATCACATCCTGGCAAATAGAAGGGGAAGATATGGAGGCAGTGACAGATTTTATTGGGCTCCATGATCACTGCAGATGGTGACAGCGCCCATGAAATTAAAATTAAAAGACACCTGCTCCTTGGGAGGAAAGCGATGACAAACCTAAACAGCGTCATATAAAAAGCAGAGACATCACGTTGCTGACAAAAGTCCGCATAGTCAAAGCTATGGTTTTTCCTGTAGTGATGTATGGAAGTGAGAGCTGGACCATAAAGAAGGCTGACCACCGAAGAATTGATGCTTTTGAATTGTGGTGCTGGAGGAGACTCCTGAGATTCCCCTGTACTGCAAAGAAATCAAACCTATCCATTCTGAAGGAAATCAACCCTGCATGCTCACTGGAAGGACAGATCCTGAAGCTGAGGCTCCAATACTTTAGCCATTTCATAAGAAGAGAAGACTCCATGGAAAAGACCCTGATGTTGGGAAAGAGTGACGGCAAGAGGAGCAGGGGACGACAGAGGATGAGATGGCTGGACAGTGTCATTGAAACTACCACTGGTCCACGGGGTCACGAAGAGTCGGACATGACTTAACGACTAAACAACAACAACAACAATATGCCATTAAATCAATTCTGACTTATGACAGCCCTTTCCAGGGTTTTCTGGGTATACTCAGAAATGGTTTAGTCTTTCCTTCCTCTGAGGGCACTTTAGGAGCATGTTGCTTGCTCAAGGCTACCTCTTCAAGCTGAACATTGCAGAGCATGTAGGCAGTCCAAAAAACCATCTTGGCTAAGTAATGAAGTTTAAAGATCTGTAGTTCAAGTTAAATCCTAACATGGAGTCTTCAAATTTATGTAAAAAGGTAAAGGTAAAGGTTCCCCTTGACAATTTTTGTCCACTCGTGTTCGACTTTACGGGGCAGCGCTCATCCCCGTTTCCAAGCCATAGAGCCAGTGTTTTGTCCGAAGACAATCTTCTGTGGTCACATGGCCAGTGCAACTTAGACACGGAACGCTGTTACCTTCCCACCGAGGTGGTCCCTATTAATCTACTCGCATTTGCATGCTTTCGAACCGCTTGGTTGGCGGGAGCTGGGACAAGCGACGGGAGCTCACTCCGTCGCATGGATTCGATCTTATGACTGCTTGGTCTTCTGACCCTGCAGCATAGGGTTCTGCGGTTTAGCCCGCACCGCCACCACGTCCCCTGTAACCAGCTTGTATTCTCAGGTGTCACCTGATATAGAACCAATTGTCTTTCTCTGTGCCTAGAGTCAAAGGGGTGCTGGTCCTTCCTTGGCATGCTAGGGGTAAAAAAGACATACAAACCTGTCAGCTTGAGCCAAATTAAGACATTGCCTAGTGGCTACTGAAAGATGCCCTGTGATGCAGTTGTTTCTGAGTGTTGATTGATGTTCTTGCTGTGATTGTAGCTCCTTCCTTCTTCAGGGTACTTTCCGTAGGAGGGAGCGCCATGTGGTCCTTTTACAAAATCCTGTAACAAAAGTGGGCAATGTTCAATTCATAATCAGTTATAAAGGAACCCCCCCCAGATTTTCCCTACCCTCTTTTCCCTTTCCCTGTGGAAAAGACCTTGAGTAGCTACTCCAGGGTTGGGTTTACAAACCACGGCATCACTTGAGAAGGATTGCACCACACTGAGGCATATATCTTCCTCTAACAGCTAAGTAATGCTGCTCATCTTTGTTCTGGGATTTTCTACAAGGACCACACCACTCCGGCCCGCCCGCCCCTGGGCCATGTGGCAGAAGCATCAGATTGTGGAGAATCAGAGAGAATGTTCTTACATGAAAGAAAGAAACATCTGCTGTCTGGCTGCCTTTTTATCAGCTGGTGCCTTCCTCAATCCTGCCTCAGCTCTCTGGTGCCATTTAAATGTGCAGATCATGACTTGTACTGGTTAATATTTTTCCACCCATGTTTTCAGTAAAGTTCCTTTTTATATGTTTCTTTATAGTCAATATGTTTACATGTTATTCTGAAGTAAGTGTTTTTACATAAAACTTTCATCAGAGCAGCACACTCTTTAATTCAGCCCAGTGTTAAGCAGAGCATATCCATGAGGTTTGGTTTTGTTTTGTTTTGCTCTGTTTTATTGTTTGAGAATTTTCAGAGAACATGCTAGTTTTAATGGATTGAAGGTGTATGAGTAACGGGCATAATGTAACCCAAATTAAGTGTATTTAAATCCCATTGATTTAGTTAGAAAAAAAAATTAAACATAGTCTTAGGTCTCCCTGGGGAAGACAATTAGAGATTAAAAGTAGGTGGATGATTCCCTGAGCCTTTGTGATTCTTGTTGCAGGACTTGGATTCTTTACATCAGTTTAACAAAACAATAATTAGCAGAGAGAATGGATGCTATGCCTGTTGGAAATCTTAAACAAAGTGTAATTTAGGCAAGTAAGTGAGAGATCTCTCTGCACAGAACATTGCCTCATCCTACCTAGTGGGAAGACATGGCACCTTTGGCCTGTAGCTGCACTGTTATATTAATATTAAGCCTGTTACTCTTAGGAAAATGTTTCCTAATGTATCTCCTAGTGTTAACATGGGAACAGTGAAATGAGGAATGCATGACAGCCCATGTACGTGCAAGTTGCAGGCTTCTAGAGTTGCTGTAAAACATTCACTCTAGGCTGCACTCCCTTACACATTTACCTGAGGGCATCATTAAACAGAGTGGAACTTACCTATGAGCAAATATTGATAAGCTTTTGTTAGGTATAGTCCTAAAACTCAGGCAATAAATAAACATAATTTTAGTTGTGTTGGGTTGTTTTTGTAAGTAAAGGGAGTGTGGAGGTTCTATTTTTCTCTTTCACACATTTTTTCTATTTATATGCTTAGTTGTGTTTGTATCTTCCCCTTCCTGTAGCAAGTTACATTGCTCTCTTCCCTCCATTTAAATCTTAACAGCCCCCTGAAGTAGGTCAGACCCAGAGAATGTGGCTGACCTAAGGTCACCCACTAAGGTTCCATGACCAGTGGGAGATGTTGAACCAGTATCTCCTGGATCATAATCTAATATTCATACCTCCACACACTCTGCATGTACATAAAGCAGTAGCTTTGGGAAATCAAGATGTAACTTATAAAAAACTAGATAATATAAATCATTGTATAAATGAAAGAGAAATAACTTAATTAATGATGAAGACAGAACCACCCTAAGTAAACAGCAGTTGTTGTTGCCACATACACAGACCCCTTGCAATCTTGCCACAAACCTGAGATTTTTATTTAAAAATATATAAAACATACTCATGAAGTAGGTGTTGTCTGAACTTAAACTCTGATTTAACTTATCAAATTGTGCCAAAAATATCCTTCTTTATGAACCTTCTAAGGCAGTGGTTTCTAACCTCGGGCCTCTCCGGTGCTCTTGGGCTGCAGTTTCCAGAAGCCTTCATTTTCAGCTGTGGGGAACCACTTTTCTAAGGTATCTGGCAGGATACAACTCAGAAACCCTCCCCTTGGTACATTATAATGTCTGTAAGAACATAGACCACAGCCTAGCCGAGGAGGTCATTTCTGCAAAGATTAGGCCTTGGACAGTGTCAGGGCTGTGTCAGTTCTGCGAATAGTGGAGGCAAAGCTCTCAGGAGGTAGTGCAAATGCTGTGTTACATCCTTGAGGTGGCCTATACCTCATGCCGTAGTATGGATGAACTGCTGCATTTTGTGTAGCTTCTGAAGCTCTTGCTGAAGCTTCTGGATAGTCATTAAGAGAAGCACCATGAAAGTACAGAGTCATGGTCTAGGTCAGCCTTCCACAACATAGTGCTTTCCACATTTATTGGATTGCTTGCTGAAGGGTGAAATGGACATAGCTTAGAAGTAGAACATGTACAGTACCTTATATGTGAAATGTCCCAGATTCAACCCTGACATCTCTGTGCTGAGTGGGAAAAACTAGGACAGCCAGTATAGCAGAGTGGATAAAATTCAATGTTTTTTTTCCTTTAAATAAAAAAATTAAAAAATGGATTTTTCAATTTAAATCAGATTTTTTATTTAAATCAAATTTTTATTTTTAAAAAACACTGATTTTTATCCACTATGCAGTGATTAAAATCATGATTTAAATTGATTTGATTTAAATCAAATCCACCCTGCAGTGAGTATAGTGGTTTGAGTGTCGGACTAGGACTTAAATACCTTACATGCTTCAGAAACCCTATTAGGGTTGTCATCAGTCAAAATCCACGTGATGGCCTATAACACATACCATTGTCCTAGATAGAGTTCCTCAGGCAGTATAGCAGCATCTTGCCCCCATTTTTCCTGGATCTTGTTGTGCCAAGCAATAGAAAAGACCTGGGCAGCTCCATTGCCCGTTCTTTTCGCAGTCAATCAATTACTCTGTCTTTATCAGACCTAACTGCTTCTCCTCCCTCTGAGTTTCTTCAGAGGCAGCTAGACCTGCCTGAGTATATGCCCCCTGGAAAAGTATAGTAAAGCTGCATGCAGATTTTAGGTAGTCCTGAGCTGTAAGTCTTGTCCATATCCAAAAATAGTCAAGGCAATTGATCAGACAATTTCCAGTGAAACAGCTATGTATTAATGTAGCTTAATATGAAAAATTCTAAGGTGAAGTTTGACATTCTCAGACTGAGGTTGACAAAGAAATGTACCACATATCAAGTCTGTTTGGCTAAGTAGGTGGATTCAGGTGCCTCAAATACATACAGGGCAACCTTATATGACTCTGCTTTGATGTGAGTGCCAGTGGGGTTTACTTCAGGATTGCCTGAAGCTCTACATCTAATTTTCAGACTTGTAGAATTTCAGCAGTATGTGATCTGAAATTTGAGGTGGTTAGTATAAGAATAAAACAAGATATGTACAGTAATACTACTATCCTTGATACAGTGTTTGGACATTTTTAGTCATTCAGGACCGTGGCTGAGAAGTACTGTATATTCATCTTGACTACTCTCTCCTTTTCTCCTTTTTCTATGCAGAAATGTTAGAGTCCCCGGAAGCTTCTATCAAGAGCCCACCATATCAGCTGAGGTAGGACATGTATATTGTGTTCTTAATTTTATCCATATTTCTAAACTTTCCTGTATCAGCAGGAGTGGGGTACAATCAAGAAAATCACCTTGAAACACTTTGACAACTCACACAAAGATAGGGATTTCAGCAAAGAAACAACAAGAAGATGAATTAGCTCTTGCATTTAAGGTTTGTTTATTGTTCAAACAGCTCTGGCATAGAAGGAAAACATACAGATGTGTCACAAGCAATCTACACATCACATCTTATGGGTTACAGTTTCACTTCTGTTTATTGCTGTGCATAGGCTGTGTCACAAGCAATCTACACATCACATCTTGTGGGTTACAGTTTCACTATTTATTGCTGTGCATAGGCCGCAATATCCAGAAGTCCTAGCCAGCATTCCCATTGACTATGGTAGCTGAGAAATTCCTGGAGTTGTTCACCAAGCAAGTAATTTCTCTATGCTGTGTAGATGCGCAGTCTTCAAAAAGCAGTCAGGTCCCCGGAATGCTCTGTTGTATACCTTCATTGAAAAGATGGAGGCAAGCAGGTTGATGGTTGGTTGCCAGTTTTCCTCTTTCTCCCTACATTCTTAATTATGCCAGAATTCTTGGGAACAGAAACTCTTACTTCCTATTGGAGATGCACCTCATGGGGCTTAATGATCATGGCAGTCAAGGTCTCATCAGCTGCAGTTGTTGGTGGAAAGAAGAAGTGCTTGCAACTCCACACACAGCTCCGCATAAGGAGGTGTTAATGTGGAACCATCAAAATTGCCCATGCTCATGTTGCATTCTGTTTTGTTTTGCAGTTGAGAAACCTACCATAGGGGATCAGGGAACAGTTGTGTCTCCTCTTCCTTTGTAGGAAAGGATGTCTCATGTTTTGGGGATCATTCAAGTCTTGCTAGGCAAGACTATTCTCAATATTAAGGCTAAAGGAGCTTCATGAATTAGTGACATCACATTTCTACTATATCAATTTATTTTGCAGTTTTAGGCTGGTGATGCAGAATGGTGGTGGTGAAAAAAATATATTAAAATTCATGTCCAGTCCTCTCCCCCAACCAACCCCCATTTCTTGCTGTAGGTGCCACTTGCAAGCTCTCTCTGTAGTTACCTGCATATGTGATGTAATAGGGATCTACTTTAGTACAGTATTGTTATAGCTATTACTGTGATCCTTGATGTTAAATGCTATAAATAATCTGGAGAACTATAAAAATCAGATTTGGGTTGAAGTGCTAATCTGGTAGCCTTAGCTAATCAGGTGTTGCATGTAAGTAAGTAAGTCCATGGGAATCCATATCCTTGAGTCATCTGATGAGTAGGCAGAAGGCTAATGGAGGAGAAACAAAATGTCCTTACCCAGGCTGGAGTAGCCTGGTAAAGGGGGGTAGCTGGAGGGACGCCACAGAATCATGAATAATGGAGTCGAAAGGGGCCATTGAGTCTAGTCCCCTGCTCAATGCAGGAATCCAGATCAAAGTATATCTGACAGATGGTGTGGGAAAGGGAGGTGGAAAGGCAGCATCTTCTGCCGGTGTACTGTCCACGCTTCCACGGAAAGTGGAAGGAGCCCAAGCCACCAGCCCAATAAGAAAAGTAAAAGAAGAAAAAGAGAAGCCCCCTGTTGGAGAAGAAAGTATAGAAAGAGGGGAAAAGGCGGGAAAAGGTGAACAAGAAAAGGAGGGGGAAATAGAGGGAGGAGCAGATGTAAACAGGAGAGGGAAGGAAAAGGAGGAGGATAAGGGGGGAAAGACAAGAAAGATGGAGCCTGGAATAATAGGCAGGGGAGAAGAATGCACCCTGCCTAAGGGTTGGGAGTGGATATGGATGGAAAACCCATGGACCCATGAGTGGGAAAGACTGAGGTTGCCGCAAGAGTCAAACAATGAAGAAGAAGAAGACATTGTCTGCACAGAAAACCATTCTATGGTGGGGGGATTGAAAGGAGAGAGTGGAATAAGAGGCTTTGAGAAGAGAGGGCAAAGGTGGAAACTCAAAGGGGGACAACAGAATGGAAACACCCCCACCAGATTGAATCATTTCTCCACAAGAAGGTGGGAAATGGCACCCTCTAAACTAACAACCCAGACAGAAAGGTGGGGGCACAACGTGTGGCCTTTGTTGCAACTGGCACTGTCTGGTGACTCCATGGGAGCATTGAGCACAGAGTGGTATGGAACTCAGGGCTTGGAAAGGACTGGGGATTGAAAGTTTCCGATACTAAGTCTTTAAACCCCTACCTCTCCTTGGAGAGGAAAGTGAAGCCAGAGTTGACTGAAGATATTAATACATTGTTAGATGGTTTGTTGGTAAATATAGATCGTTTAAAACAAGAGATGGAGTCTAATGTGTTTGTTGGAGGGGGAAGCCAAGGCAGGGGCAATGTTGAATGTTCACAGATGGTTGTCCAGTTTCCTCTTGAATGTCTTCAGCGTTTGAGCGCTCACCACTTCCCAAGGTAATTGGTTCCATTGATGTATTGCTCCAACAGTTAGGGAGATTTTCCTGCTATTCAACCAAGTTTGGCTTGTAACTTAAGCAAATGTAACCATTGTTACATGTTCTGTGCTCAGGGATGATCGATAACAGATCCTGCCCCTCCTCTGTACAATGATCTTTCAAGTACCGTATTTTTTGCTCCATAAGACGCACTTCCCCCCCCCCAAAAAAAATGTGGGGGGAAAGTATGTGCGTCTTATGGAGCGAAAGCAGTCAGCCTGTTAGGGCTTGGTTTCCAGTCCCCTGATCATCTTCATTGCCTTCCTCTGAACTTGTTCTGTTTTATTGGCATCCATATTAAGGTGGGTATCCAGAACTAGACACAGTGCTCACTATGAAACCTAACTAGTGTCAAATAGAGGGGGACTAGTACCTCATGGGATTTGGAAACTATATTTCTGTTAATGCAGCTTAAAATAGCGCTTGCCTCTTTTGCAGCCACACCACACTGTTTACACATTCAGCTTCTGATCTACAGTAATACCGTAATCCTTCCCACTCATAGTATTAATGAGCCAAGTAACGTGTTTCCCCGAAAATAAGACAAAGTCTTATATTAATTTTTGCTGCAAAAGCATTGGGGCTTATTTTCAGAGGATGTTTGATTTTATTTTCATGTACAACAATCTACATTTATTCAAATACAGTCATATCATCTTATTCTGGTTGCTGCACAATAGTGGAGGGGAGAGTTTCATTTAACTGGGGCTTATTTTTGGGGTAGGGCTTATATTATGAGCATCCTGAAAAATCCTACTAGGGCTTATTTTCAGGTTAGGTCTTATTTTTGGGGAAACAGGGTATCTTCTGCCTTGTTATTTTATGTTTGGTTTTTTCTCCCTAGGTATAGAGTGCGTCTTATCGAGCGAAAAATACGGTATTTGAAAAGTGCTATATCTCCTCTCAATCTTCTTTTCTCAAGGCTAAATATACCCAGTTCTGTCAGCCTGTTAGGGCTTGGTTTCCAGTCCCCTGATCATCTTTGTTGCCCACCTCTGACCTTGTTCCATTTTGTTGGCATCCATTTTAAGGTAGGTGTCCAGAACTAGACACAGTGCTCACTATGAAACCTAATCAGTGTCAAATAGAGGGGGAATAGTACCTCATGGGATTTGGAAACTATATTTCTGTTAATGCAGCTTAAAATAGCACTTGCCTTTTTTGCAGCCACACCATACTGTTGACATTTTCAGCGTCTGATCTACAGTATCCTTCTGATCCTTCCCACTTACAGTATTACTGAGCCACCAAATGTGCATCCACCTGAGAGTTATTCAGTCCAGCCTACACCTAGTTACCTTGCAGATCAGAATAACATGGGGCATTTTGTCAAAATATATTACACCTACAGCATTCGCACTGTCCACAAGGGAGGTTAACTGATTAAAAAAAATAGATAAGATTTACAAATCCGTGTTGACTTCTCATCCACCTGAGAGTTATTCAGTCCAGCCTACACCTAGTTACCTTGCAGATCAGAATAACATGGGGCATTTTGTCAAAATATATTACACCTACAGCATTCGCACTGTCCACAAGGGAGGTTAACTGATTAAAAAAAATAGATAAGATTTACAAATCCGTGTTGACTTCTTTATTTTCATGTACAACTATCTACATTTATTCAAATACAGCCATATCATCTTCTGGTTGCTGCACAGTGGTGGAGGGTGGGGTTTCACTTAACTGGGGCTTATTTTGGGGGGTAGGGCTTATATTATGAGCATCCTAAAAAATCCTACTAGGGCTTATTTTCAGGTTAGGTCTTATTTCGGGGGAAACAGGGTATCTTCTGCCTTGTTACTGTATGTTTGGTTTTTTTCTCCCTAGGTATAGAACTTTGCATTTATCTCTGTTAAATTTCATCCTGTTATTTATTGCCCAATGTTCTTTTTGAATTTTGTTTCTGTCTTCCAGGGTATTAGCTGTTCTGCTGAATTTTGTGTCATCTGTAAATTTGATAAACATTCCCTGCACACTCTGATTCAAATCATTAATTAAAAATGTTGAAGAGCACCAGTCCCAAAACGGAGTCTTGTCATCTTCTCCCAGTTTGAGAAGGAACCATTGATAAGCACTCTCTGAGTACAATTCTTTAACCAACTGTGCATCCACCTGAGAGTTATTCAGTCCAGCCCACACCTAGTTACCTTGCAGATCAGAATATCATAGGGCATTTTGTCAAAATATATTGCACCTATAGCATTCTCACTGTCCATAAGGGAGTTTAACTGATTAAAAAATTATATAAGATTTACACATCCATGTTAACTTCTAGTTATTACTGCCTTGTTTTCAAGGTGCTTGCAGAGTGGCTGCTTTATAGCCTGCAGAATATCCCCTGGGATTGATGTCAGGCTGACTGTCTGTAGTTCCCAGATTCCTAACTTTTGCCCTTTTTGAAGATATGGATAATGTTAGCCCTTCCACAGTCATCCAGCACTTCACCCATCCTCCATGATATCAAGAAAATAATAGACAGTCATTCCGAGAGGTCTTCAGCCT